GAAGAAAAAAATATTTTTCTTTCCTCAGGATTCAATCGCTTTCTTAAAATATTAAATTACTAAAGGTAAAGAAGAAAAAAGTAACAATATATTTCAATACACCTCTGAACTTTGAGCTTCGTCTGAAAGAAAGTCTAAGATAAAAGAAAGAAAAAAATATTTTCCTTTCCTCAGGATTTAATCGCTTTCTTAAAATATTAAATTATTAAAGAAAAAGTAAAAAAAGGTGACAATATATTTCAAAACATCTCTAAGCTTTGAACTTCGTCTGAAAGTCTAAGATAAAAGAAAGAAAAAAATATTTTCCTTTCCTCAGGATTTAATCGCTTTCTTAAAATATTAAATTATTAAAGAAAAAGTAAAAAAAGGTGACAATATATTTCAAGACACCTCTAAGCTTTGAACTTCGTCTGAAAGGAAGTCTAAAATAAAAGAAAGAAAAGGATATTTTCCTTTCCTACGAATTCAATCGCTGAAAGTAATTCTTTTTGAAAGATTTGCAGCCACTAGGCAGTGAAATTTCTTACATTTGCCATGCAGCTTCCATTTCCCTGATCTTCTCGATACTCTTCATGCCCTTTGGTAGCTGCGACTCGTAAATAATTCCAGGCTTGCCAGCCGTTCGAATCACCGCTCGTGTCTCGTCCATTCCATAAAGATTCGTCGCTCTGCATAGATACTCCCCGCTGTCTTCAGGGTACACCCATCCAAAGTTCATTGCCACGTAACCGAAATCGTAAATCGGAGTGAATCTGTTCTTGTGTGGCAGAGGCTTGCCGTTGAAGAACCACTCGACTTTCATGTTCGGGTCACCGACAGGTGCCAATTGGCACTCGAATTTCGTGCTGTTCATCTCGATCAGGTCGGTTTGGTCTTGGATCTGGGTAACGAAACGCGGTGGTTGTTTCTTGTCGGCGTCGTAGAGATCGTCTTCCGTGAGATGAACCTCCGAGGTGTACTTCTTGATGGTGGCTTCCATCTGCATCAACGCTTCCGACTTCTTCATACCTTTTGGCACTTGGTTCTGTAGGATAATGCTGGGCAACTCTGCGAAGAAAATTCGAAACGGCGATATTGGATACAATATTTGTTGCGTGATTTGTGTTGAAAATTAATTTCATAAAATTTTCAACTCGTATAGGGGGAGGATATAAATTTAAATAATCAGATTATTAATCCGAGTTTTGGAAGTTCAAATTCTATTATCTATTATAGTATGTTCGTTCAACTGAGCTATAAAATAAAATAAATCTACGATTAAGATTTTTACTATATAGAAATGAATCTAAAAGTGGCACAAAAATTACAAAGAGTTATTATAATTAAAAAAAAAAA